AGAAGACTTTCATCATTATGTCTAACACGAAGCAATGAATATCTGCTCCTGCCATTAAACCATTTATGTGACACCATAACATGACACAAGAGTTTTTCATAATCCCAGCTCCAAAAACATTTCAGTTTGTACAGGACAGTGTAAAAGAATTGTCTAAAGTAATAAAAGTGCAAAAAATGTATATGATATGAATTTGTACACAGCCCGGGATAATCTAATAAACTTGAGAGGTATTTGGATGCTAGATATCCTCCTGCAGAGGTTGGAACTTAGTGGTATAGGTGTACAAAGTGTGTATGTGCTTATGAACATTTACACTTATTATTACTATTTACTCATAAATTCTTAATTTTTAGTTGTTTTTCTTAAAACATAGAACAATAACAAAATTTCTAGTCCTTACGATGTTAAGAAACTGATTTGTAATCGCTGCTTGCTAAGCTTCACTGTATTTCTCATTTATTCTCTCAAGTAGAAGGTGAAAACAAATTAATTTTTGTAAATTTCAAAGATACATTTTAGAAACCAAAAAATTATCAAATTACTATACTGGTTCACATAAAACCATTATAATTTATCTGGGTTTCTAATTAAGTTATATGTGGATTAAAAAAATATCATTTCTGTTTAGAGCAGCAACTCAGTCAACAGACTTCACCTTTTCAAGTGAAATTACAAGTTTCCCCTTTAAACCAATTACAAATGACAGTCAGACTTATGTAGCTTGAAATATGTTCTTTCTATTATAATATTACTTATTTCATTGTTAAACTAGTTTTTAAACAAAAAACGTAGCTGGCTATACAATTAATATCTAAATAAACATACTCATTAGTTTTTACACGTATGTAGAAAATATCATCACAGCACTTTCACTATGCATCAAATCTTTCTGTTTATGAAAGTGGCAGAGTAATCTGCCATCTACCAGAAAGTTTATATTTCAAAAATCCAATATGAACTCAAAGATAAGATATATAACATAACAATGTTAAGGGGCAACAAGGGACCTATTGGTCCATCTCAGCTGTCCCATCCTTTAAACTAAACTAAAACTATTAAATAAATAATTTTAAAAAATCTTCAAGCCAGTCCTTACCACTCATATAGTTATCAAGCTTTCTCTTAAACTTGCTTAAATTTACTGCCTCCACAACATATGAAGGCAACCCATTCCAAAGGCTAACTACCCTGTTAGAAAAATAAAACTGTCTTAACTGAAGATGACTCATACCCTGTCAAAATAAATATCTGTGTCTCCTTGTTCTATTATTCTCACTGTTAACTCTCTCAACATGTGCTCGACCAATTTAACACACCACGTGAATTCTTTGTACTCATTTAAAATCTTTATAGATTTGATACTACATACTATATAATAAACAATAAAACGATAAAATTTAAAACTGTATATAGTTACGCGTTTAAAGTTACTTAGGATAAATGAATGTAGTTTCATGTTACAATTTGAAATCATCCCCCCCCCCCAAGGGGTAATTTAGATTTATTTCGATTTTTTTGTAACAAGGTCAGTCAAATTAACCAACTTTGTAGAGTTATGGTAGAGAAAATAACAGTTAAAATATAAAGTTTTACTGAAAACAAACATTTGAAATGTACTTAGGAGGTTTTAGAGATTACACAAATGAAATTTCAGATTTTTGAGATGAAGAAAACTATTTTTAATCTTAACATGAAAATCACTTTGTACACAGACTATTCAAAACAAATACTCAATATATTCACAGACAAATCTTTTTTTAGTTAATCTAAAATACTTCACTAAAAAATATGACTTTTTTATGTGAAAGATTTATAATGTTTACTGAAAGACAGCCAAATTTTGTGAAGATATATATATATACTATATTAAAAGTTAATAGTATCAAATCTATGAACACTTTAAACGAGTACAAAGAGGTCACATGGTCAGTCAAATCGTCCGAGCCAATTTCTAATTTTTACATTTTAGTTACTTGCATAATAATAAATAAATAATACATATAAAAACCAAGAAATATAGTACATATCTTGGTCTTCTTTTTCTTTGCTGTCAACTGTTGATGAAACTTTTTATTTCTAATACTATTGGCACTAATGTACTAAATATTTTTTTAAATTGAATAATGCACCTAAAAATACAGAATAACAACATGTAAAACGTAGAGAATGTCCTATAACTATCATAATTTTCTTGGCTTTCTAACTATGTATCAGGTGATGATAACAAAACCTTGTCGAAACGTTGTACATTTGCTGTTGTGTTAAACTTATATTAAAGTTTTTCTTCAATATCCATTCAAGCCATCTCCAAACATTGTATGTTTAGTTTAGGTATACAACAAAATCAACAGATAATGACTGACATTTACAAACACACACACACGTTATTTACCTCCAACAATGTAATTAAAATACATTAAAAAGATAGATACAGCACCTGACAGATTTGTACTTGGATGCTTTTGAGTTGTGGATTTCCGAGCAACATTCCTATGGAAAACATTTCCATTCAATAAGCCAATGGTATGTTTCCTGGCTACCTGTGATTGGAGTTTCTCTTCTTCCTCTTTAGAAATCTTAGTAGACAGCTCCTGAACAACCACCGATTGAGTATTAGGGAGTGCTAGAGTAAAAACATGGTAAAAATAAGATCATAAGATTTGTTGAATTTTTTCAGGTTCAGTTTATATTCTCTCCCAATTCTTATAAATATCTCAAATATGTTTTAGGATACAATAGATAACTTGGGTTAATATGCATTTGTTATAACATAGAAAAAAATCCAAAATCCACAAGTTTTATTTAGAAACTATTTTCATACCATGTACCTCAAAAGTCAATGCTATCTGCACAGCATTTGTAAAAACTTTAATATGTGCAGCAAATTACCATTTTTAACACCACAACACTCAATACAACTTTATCAGCACTTTGAATGAACTCTTGTATGGGTGGTTCATACAAATAACACCAAATCTGAATCTATATCATCTGTATTTGTCTATTTTGTAATGACAATTGGATAACAAACAAGTGATTATTGGTTGACAAGTTCTAGAAAACACCTTGAAAAAAAACCCCGAAAAACTTACCTTTTTATTCATTTCACATTCTCAAGAATTGTTAATAAAAGCAAAAATAAAAATCAGTACACCTGAACCCTCTGGACATAGAAGGGTCAAAATTCTTGCTTTACTGTGATTTCATTATACTATATACATTTATTTATACATTATAGTATTCAAAGCCAAAAATTTGTGAGAAGAGCTTCAGTTCTTTTAGACAAGACATTGCTTCAAGCAGTAACAGAATTTTTTAACATACATATGGATTACTTAGACAGCCAGATAAATGATAGTAGTTTTTGGACATTCTATTATAGTGCCCAATATATTTTTGAATTCTAAAATTCATATTTGAAAGTTTTATAGTTAATTTTGGACAGCCAACATAGTGAGAAAACAACAGGCTTATCAACCTACACACTCAAATGCAATAGGTCTCAAAATGCTAAATTTCTTGGTTTATATGCATGTTTTTTAACAAAAAATAACTCAAATATAAAAATTAGTCTTGTTAGGTTAGTTAAAAAAAACCTAAATTAAAAAATAAAGAATTTCTCCTTGAGGAATGCACTTGGGTGCCGTGACGTAATGTAGGCGTAATAGATATTTTACCTTAAGTTCTCAGAGAGTTATTTATTGGCTTGTTATGCAATGAAACAATGCAATTAAATGAAAGCAGATGTGAAACTGTTAGAAGCCTGAAGTTGTCTGGAATAAATAATTGTAATTGTTTGTTACAATCTACAGTCACTTTAGAAAAGAAAAGGGTATTTTTGGTTTTGATATACATTTTTTAACATTAGCTACACATTATTCCATTACAATTAGTTTTATATATATATATATATATATATATTATCCATTTAAGAATTTCTAGAGGTAAAATAAATGAAATATGAAATTGAAGATGAAAATAAATATTTTTATTCCCATTATGACAACCACCTTTTAGTCACTGTAAAGCCTTTGTAAATTAACAAGACAAATATTTAGCATATGATTTTTTTTGTTTAAAAAAGTCTGCACAATTTCAGGAAGATACACTTAGTACATTCAGGGTAATATTATTTAGAGTTTCACTGTTATACAATGGTTACAAGACTGGTAAAAAAAAATGACCTGCATGAATAGGGTTAAGCAAATGCCTCTGTAAACCATTAAGAAAGTTTGGACTCACTCCCTGGAATGCATGCTTATTATGTCAGGCTTGTTAACTCTTTGGCTACCACTTCCTTACATCACAAGGATGTAACATAACTCTGGTCATATTTTGTTCCAAAAATAAAAGGAGTAGATGAAACTATTTAAAATTTGACAGGAACTTAGACACGTGATTTCAGAAAAATGAAATATTTAATTGTGATTTTTTCTAATAAGAATTCTTTATTTATTGTAGATATTTACACTCAGGCTCTAAATAGTTCAAGTGCAAGATGATTTTCATGTTAAATATAAAAATATTTTTATATCTTACAGTTTTCAAATTTTATTTGCACAACCTGTAGAATCTCCTAAATGAATATCGAAAGTTTTCTTAAGGTAAATGTTTATATTTTATTTTCTATATCCTATCACTAATTGTAGTTATTAGCATCAACACACAGTGCAATTGAATGTTTAAAATCAAGAAATAGATATATGTACATACCTTTTAACTCTTTGTCAACTAATCTTAAAATATATTCTTTTAGTTATATTTATAATTTCAGGTCTTTACCTTTCCACTTAGTTTATTAATGTTTCGTTTTCATTTCCTCTCCTTTACCATTTATTATTCATCTCAACACACATTAATGAGTCCCCTTGGGGCATATTACCCAAAGATATGCAAGCCTTCGATAAAAATTTTTAACACTCCCAGTGTAAGTTAACCTTGAGAACAGAGTTATTCTTGCCTTACTGAAGAGTGGAACTTTGCAGTTACTATTATAATGCACATACATCTCCAAAGTTTGGACACGTTAAAATAAAGAAAGAGGTTGAACAAAAAATATGAAATATGTCAGTTTAACATGACTTATACTATTCATAGTCCTCCAGTGGCTCAACAATAAGTCGGAAGGCTTATAATGCTAAAAACTGTGTTTCGATACCCATGGTGGGCATAGCAAAGATATCTAGCTCACTGTGTAACAAATAAAATGTTAATTGTGTTAAATTAAAAAATTATTAAACCTTTCAAATATGCATTTTAAAACATAAAAGTAATAGCTAAGTACAATTTAACTATATCTAGCCAATATGTATCTGTATGAGAAACAACACTAAGTGTTAGTGAGGACAAAATCAGTAAACAATGCTTCAACTGCTTAAGTAACAAAAATTGTGCACCATTTTTAAAATAACCATTGGGAGAATGTAATTTAAAGTGATCTCTTTCTATTGGATATAAAGATGTATCTCAAATAAGTACATGTTGCTTGTAAATCTCAAGTCTAAGTATGGAAGATGGGTGAGGCTGCTGTCAGGGGGTGGCAATATATATATATTTCTTGTGCTCTCTAAAGTGAACCAAAGGAACATTAAACTTGGAAGGGCAAATAGTGCTGTACACATAGATTGTGTCTAAATACTTACACTATACATGTACTAATATTCAAGGAACAGAGACAAAAACTTAAGATCTGTGAATGCTTGTGCATCACGTGACAATAAAAACAAAGTTTAAGTATTTATTTTAAAGATTTCTTTTTAAATAAAGGAATTAAACTTAGATAACATAAAACTTTGAATTATAACATACATGATAGTGCTTATTTCATTAAAATACATTGATAGTAACGTTTTCAATTAAATTTTGAACATAACTCAGTAAAACCTTCTGATTAGTGCAGAAAGGAGTTTAAAGAGTATGAGGTAGTCAAAAGGGTTAATGAAACATAGGGTTGATGTTTAAATTTGAAACTATTGTTAAAATATCTATAATCAGAAAAGAGTCAAGTGGTGAACATTTTCAACCAAGCAATTTGATTCATTCTATTGTATTTTTAGCACTTATCATCTGATAGCTGCATCCATTTTTTTTTATATTATCTTTTATGTATAAACTACTAATCAACTTTTAAATTTGGAATGGAGTCTACTTACCAGCAGGTCGAGTAATTGGTTCATCTAAACCTCGAGTGTATTCAACATAGGGATGCTTTTTTCTATTCAGTGGCATCAATGTGTGTCGTCTACTTTTCCCCGATAATCTGTTAGCTTCAGCATTGGCCTAAATGCAAGCAAAAGAAAAACTTTGGTACACGAATAATAAAACTATACATAAAAACACTGCTTTTATACAATATTGAATTAAAACAAGTAAAACATATATTTAACTTCAAGATTTTATAAGATATGCAACCAGATGCAGATAAATAAAATACAAGACATTACCCATGTCTATATCAAAACAAAAAGGCTAAAAGACTGTTTCCATTATTGAATGATACTTCCTATGCACTACAACTGAAGAAGAAATCCATTTTAATAATAGCCACTGAAAGTCGTGCAAGGGAGTACAACCCAAGGGAAGAAGGGCTTCCATGGAAGCTCATGTCCTCAAAAGCAATAGAACCTCATAAGCAGTCAATGAAGGAGAGGACTCAGCACTGATAACCATTAGCTCCATTGAACACAACCAAAGAGAAGAAGGCTGGTCCCGACTAAGGGAGGAGATGAAGAAAATCATGAGAAGGAGCAGGTATTGGGTTGGGACAAGAAAGGACTCCTCCAACTAAGCAAGTCAGCCCATATGTGTAGCTTTCCCAAAAGCAAAGCATGCGAGTAAGTGTGAAATGCCTGAAAAGATGGAGCTAAAGGCAGCCAGTTGTCCATGTGATAAAGAAAAATGCAGACCATATGGGCATAGAAGATGGGAAAAGGCCATTACCACCTGAATAAAATGGAGGGAGTAAAAGCCAGACCCAACAGTAAAGCACTGAATGGAAAGACCTGATGTCCCCGACGACAAGAACAGATGTGTTGCCAAGATGCAAGGTAAAATAGGTATGTGAAAGAAAGCACCCGAGAAGTCCACTTTGGCCAACCATATACTTGCCAAAGGGTGAAAAAACAAGCTCCATAGCAGAACAAAGAAGGTCAATAAAATGGTCCAGGTAGGAGAATAATTACAGAACATTAACACTGTTGTAATAATGAATTATGAACAACTGGGAATAGAAACTCAGATAAAGAGTAATTCATTGGTAAGATAGTGTTCCAATTGAGAAGAACCCCTAACAATTCTGATAGATGTCAGAGAGAAAAAAAAAAGAAATCCAAAGGAGGTAAGGAAAAGATTGAGGAGTGGAGGATAGGAAAGGAACAGTCCTATCTGCCCATAAAGCACCTAAGTATTTACAGTGAATGTGGGTAAGAAATGTGGCTTGCCTTCAAAACTTGGAAAGAAGGCACTTAAAAAGGGAGGAAGAAGGAGTGCATAGCACAGGAATGGGGCCTAATACCATTAAGAACATTGAAAAACAAGGAGAAAAATTGATGAAAAGGTAACACTTTGAATTCCAACAAGGTAGGAAGACTCCCAAACACTGACAGGTGCAAAATATAGCACCAAATATAGGGTAAGAAAGAATTGGAGGAAACACACACCCAAAAGAAAACAGTGTGCACCATCAAGAATATCCCATAAACTGAGGAACCAAGTATACAGGTACAAATGGTGAGGTAGAAAGGAAGGGTACGAATCTCAACAAAAAATCTCACAGAGGTCCAGTGGATAAACATGATGATGAGAGTAGGAAAAAGTAATGAAAAACGTTGGTAAGGGTTAGATGCAAACAGGAAAACTGGGCCTACGAAAAATACATTATATTTCAGGATATGATCCCCATGCATATCCCAGACCATAACTAAGTTATGAAATAAAATGCATGGACCGTGAAATCCATAAAGGAAGGACAAACTAACAAACAGACAAGAGGGATCATACCTGGGAAATTATGTCAAGAAATGGTTGACAAAAAATGTGGGAACATTCAGAGACATAGCCCTTGACTGCACTGAAAAGGAAGGCAGTGGTAAAAGGCTGTTCCAAACATCATCATATAAATCAGACACATCAGGGAGTGATACTTTGAGACCTGGTACAACAGTCATATCAGGCTGCATGATAAAATCCAATTTGCAGTAAAAGAAGGCCAAACCACCTCACTGAAAATACCAGAGCCCAAATCAACAGAAATGATAGATGTACAGTGACAAATGTTACAAAACAAGAGTAGTTGCAACACTATTTTGAAAATCCAAAGAAAAGAAACTTGAGTGGATAAAACAAATTAAACCCACAATTTATCACAGAATGATGAAGAATGTAAAAACAACTAAGGTATTTGTTGAACAAACTAGGCAAAAGAAACATCAATGTAGATGGGAGCACAAGGCTAGTGGCAAGCAAACATTTATGCTTTTAGAGAGCAGTAGTTTTCAAGAAAAGCTACTATGTGAGAGGAGGTATGTTATCGTATCGGAAAATACAATATATAAAAGTATACCAGATGGTATTCATTACAAGCACTATAGTACAATGGCACATATCATGAACATATAATCTGAATATACTCTATACTAGAATTTGCAGAAAAAAATCACATTCATTTTCCTACCAATTCATTGTACAAAGGAGCCAATCTTGTTGAACCGCGATAAATCCACTCTGTCCTTTTGTCAGCATCAAAAAACATTTTCACCAAGCTGGCATCAACTTCCATTACACGGGCTATCCACCTGTAAATGCAGATTAGAAACCTAGATCTAAGGTAGTTCTTATCAATAATCTAATATGCTTCTACTTATAATTAAAAGTTAATACATTTGAAAACATTCATAAATCATCTTAAATTTTGTAACATGTAAAAAAGAAAAAGAAACAGAAGCTAAAGATTACATATTTTTAAAGTTTCTATACTTAAAGTAGTGTAACATCTAGGTACATTTTAAAAATGATAAAGCTGTCCAGTATTTTATGATGATAATCTCCCCCCCCTCATGTCAAGAAAAAAAAAGAACTAATCTGGGAACCAGCACAAAACATATTAGCATATTTACATGCTATTAACTATTTCTACAACTGGGTCACATCTTTTTTTATAGCTTCAATAGTTATAGTATTAGCAGGAAAATTTAAAGTGTTGAAAATTTACTTTGTTTTTAAAAAAGCTTACCTTTGTGCATTAAATACTTCTAGCTTTCTTTAGAAGAAGTCTAATCAATTATCAACATATTCAGGATGCAGTGTTTCAAGATGCCACTTTAATTTATTACGCTTCATGCTATCTGCAGCCAAAACTGTCATACATAACAAACACTGAGGCCTCTCCTCTCCACTAACTTTAGTACTTGTGAATCCAAGTGATACATGGTTATCCTATTTTCTGAACTTTGCTTTTTTACATTCCTTTGTTTTACTTAAAACTAGCCACACTATCCTTACTTTAACTTTCTTCACTCTCTCTAGCTTTCCTCTTGCAGCCAGTTAAGAATTTCTACATCTTTTCAAGGGTGTTCAATAATAACAATAACTGTACACAAAAACCTTTCAGATAATAAAAGCGGTGAAAAGACTACAGAAGTAATATACAATTAGCAACACCATAATGAGGTGGCCTTGAGACAACTGACAGCTAATGAAATACCCATACCCCAGCCTAGCAACAAGGAGCACTACAAAACAGAATTGCCAACTGTCCTCCTGGTGGGAGTTATTTATTTATTTTCTTTGTTATAAGTTCTAATTTAGTTAGGATAGTCTATCTCGTCTTCAATTTTTCTTCTTCTTTCGTTGTTATTTTTGGGTTCTTCTGGCAAAATACCACATACACACATCCCCTAGTCACCACTTCAAGCCTCCCCAGGAGGGTGCACCCCACAATTTGGAAACCACTGGGCTTAAAGTGTATAAGGATGAGTAGAATATTGCTAAATAATATTGTAATATCATATTAAAAAAAGATTACTATGCAAGTTTCAGAATCATGATTCATAGATGTGTCATCCTTTCATAACATTATGCTTCTTGCAAGTGGTCACTCAGAAGATTTTCATTAAATCAAAATGGTATTTAAGTAATTGCAATTATCTTCTGTGACTTTCTGACTTACACTCTGTATCAAAATCATCAACCAAAAGGACTTTTTGTAAAGGGGGAACAAGAAAATGAGATTCCATATTATGTAACATTATTCCAAAAAAAGAGGTTGAAATTTGATATACTGGGTATGTTAATTTAGCCAGATATTTAATTATATAAGTATTTTCCAATGTGTTTACACAACTAGTAGAGACTTACATTTTTAACAACACATATTAACTCTTTCGCAATGGGTACGTAGAAATGCACGTCACAAATTTAATATGAAAAAATTAGAATCAAAACATAGTTAATAAATCAAATCTTAATATTATTTAAGTTTTAAGTTCTTAATTTTATAAGAAAATACTTTTGAAAAAATCCTCATTCTTCACTAGTATAAAAAGTGCGAGATTTGCTCTCTGGGTCTTCCCTCTTTTTTAATTTATTTACCATCCCTCCAACAAATACAGGATTTAATGTAAGTTATTTATTATAATATAGACATTACTCGGGCAAAGCATACTTTTTATAGCTTTCAATTTTATTTGTTTACAGGGTCATAATCTATAAATCAGACCCACTTGCCACATCTCTTTCCCATATTGTACTATATAATTTACAACCAATGCAAGGCCAAAATTGTTATTTAACACACCATATTATATCACATTGTTTTCTATAGATAAAATTTTCTATCTTGATTCTAGTTCAATCTTTATTCCTACAGGAATCACACCAAAGAGCTTAGCTGAATTTTTAACAGCTCTTATCGCATATTCAGAAAGCCAGAAAAATTAAGATAGTTACAGAGGATTGTCTGCTTTTAACATGTTATTATTCTGTTTTTTCAGGTACAATATTTAATTAAATAGAAAATTATATAGTAAGGTAATACCATTAGTACAAAAGAAGTAAGTACAAGTTTTATCGACAATTGACAGCAAAAAAATAAAATAAAACTCAGGTAAATACTATATTTCTTGCTTTTCATGTGTATTCTTTATTTATTATTATAAAAGTAACTCAAGTGTAAAAACTAGAAACTTATTAGGTTATATAAAGAAAAATAATAATAATTATTTTTGAGGTATGCTCACAATTAGCTCAGGCATTACATAATTCAAAGGGGTAGGTGAGCTACACATTGGCAAAGTGATTTACAACTTGATTATTAGTTAAGACCCTGTTCAAAGGCAATAAAACAATAAAATTAAATATAAACAGATGTATACTATGACAAACTTTAAGTTACTTAGAATAAATAAATGTGGTTTCCTGTTAGAATTTGCAGTTTTTCCAGAAAGAAAAAAAAAGTATATTAGAATTATTTCCAAATTTTTTTCTGGTGGTTACGAAGTCAGTCAATTTGACCAGCCCTTATAAAGTTATGGCAAAGAAAATAAGAGATAAAATACAAGGTTTTTTCAAAAAAGCATTTGGTATATATTTAGTAAGTTATAGGTATTATACAAATGAAATTTGAAAATCATCTGATGAAGAAAAGTATTTTTAATCTTAACATGAAAATCACTTTGCACCTCAAACAATCAACATATAATCACAAACAAAGTTTAAGCAAAAATACTTCATCAAAAATTCTAATTTCTTATCTGTGAAAGACTTTTAATGTTTACTGAAATCTTGTGAAATTTCATGAAGATAGATTCAAAGTCGTGTTATGAATAACATCATGGTTACATGGTGGTTAGAAGGTCATGTAAAATACACAAGTTCACTGCAATGGTTAAAAAGGAACAAAACATTTATTATAGTTTCTTCAAAGCTTTTCTTTCTTATTAGTAAATACTTCAGTTAATAAAACAGAATCATTCAGTTTATGTTCATATACCACTATTTGCTTTTGTCTTTTTTACATTCCCACATAATATCTCATCTCTCATTTCAACTGCTAGCAATTTTAATTTGTGTTGTTCATCACCCTTGGTTTGCAGTGGAAGACATCATAAAGAGCAATATTTTTCAGTCACTGGAGATACAAACAGAGACAGAAAGTCACTAATATGTTTGAATGTCATCAAGCATATAATTCAAAACAATAATTGTTCAAATGTTTCACTATTATGATGAGAAGAGATGTTAGTTATAAAGGTATTAAATGGATAAAAAGTCTTCTTCTCTTTCAAAACACATGCAAAGCACACCTAAATACACAGCTACATGTATTGGTATGTTTTGAATAGGTATATTACAGTATACAGACATACAAGGTTTTTTTCTTCAGTAACACACGAACACTATATGTGCTCAAGCTGTGTAAAAGTATGCATATCACAAACTTTAACATGATTAGGTCCAATATGCCAATAAACTTGGCTTGTTCAAGTCAAATTTTAAAAATATCCAAGTTTTAATTTCTTAATTTGAAAAGAAAATACGCGACCCTCTCACTACGGGTAGGTCAAAGTGCACAAGTCACGACATTTTATAGAGTTGCATTCAAATTTAATTAAGCTACATTATTATCATTATTTAAAAATAAACTTGGTGTCAAAATGTACCTAATAAATCAGATTTTAATATAAGCTTTAATTTCTTAATTTTAAACGAAAATATTTAAATAAGTCATCAATCTGCCACTGTATAAGAATTGTGACATTTGTTTGCACCACCTCTCTCTTTATTGTACTGAGTTTAATGTACATTATTCATCACAGTGTGTGTATATAAATAATATATAGTTATTTAGGAAAACTAAATTTGAAGCTAAATAAACAAGGATAGAATGAATCTTACACAGCATATCAAAACTTTAGATGAAGTACAATTAAGTGTAAATTCATGAGAAAGGGAAAAAAAAAATGCAGTCACGATACAAACATCCAACACCAGGGCACAGGTTGGTCATAATGTAATGTGCCCTGGTTTCTAGAGGTACTGGCAGAAGTAAGAGCCCAAAGGCATTGGGAGTACACCATCTATCCAGTTTAACCTCAACTTTGCCAGCCTCATATGATTAAGAATAAAAAAATAAATAAAACTTGAGCAGATGCAGGTGCTATAGCCCACAATGTCCCACATCTTTACCACCTTTTGAAGACTAAAACTTTGTGTTATGCACAGTAAAGGATGCCTGTGGTGATAGGGTTAAATGAATATCAAACATTTTTTGTTTTTTTTCCAGTAAAACTAAATTTTATTTGTTATTTTCCCTACTCTAACTGCATACAGACTCGGCTGAGTTGACCGACTTTCTAACCGCAATAAAAGATATGAAAAATCTAAATTACCTTTTCTTTCTAGAATTATTGCAGATTGTAACAGAAAATTACACTTATTTATCCTAAATTGTAATGGTTTGCATCTGTTTCTACTTAGCTCAAGTTACCATATTGAATGATGTAAGGCACAAGCTACTTGCTAGAATATTTTGTGGAAACATTTTGTGTTATTATTGTGTTTTGATTATCTAACCTAATGTAATAAGTTCGTAATGTTTAGATTTTAGTTAGTTTTATGAAATAAATAAATAATAATAATAATAATAATACATATATATAAAATAAGAAAATTAGTACGTACATACATTCGGTCTATTGTTTTTTGCAGTCACCCTTCCAATGAAACTTTAAGCCTACTTCTTTGTAATGATGGTACTACAACGTGAAATACTTTTTGTTTAATTCAAATATGCACA